AGGGAGGGAGGGAGGGAGGGAGGGAGGAAGTGAAGGAGGAGGCATATGCCTGTGTATCTGTCGGGAACAGGCGATGTCCGTGAACAAGTTCGCTAGCTTCTGTTTCCGCTCCTTCACAGACCTTCACGGCATCGAACAGATCTGTCAACTCAGAAACCTGATGTGGTGCTTCGCGTGGCCATCGGGGCCCTTTGCGTGCCGGTAGGCGGTAAGGCGGCAGTTACCTAAGCTGCCTCCAAGGTCTAAGCTCGGCAAACAGAATACTGAAAACTTTGACAGAATGCTGAAATTTTTGGTACATATTTGGATCACTCTACAGTTGTCGAGGCAGGTACCTGAAAAGCACTGTTGGCTGTATTGAAGACATGACCACACTGCCTCGCAGGACACGAATACAAGCTTTAATTATTTTATGTAGCATTTTATTCCTTTTTATGTTCGTAGGGGCAGATCCTGCAATCTTCACTATGTTGCTGTTCGTTAGGTTGCCTCGGCATCGGCTCGTCTAACTGCAACAATGACAGCGACAGCCTCGATGCGACAGCATTACGAGCTTCCATAGCTCCTAAGACATTACACATAATCAAATGATGTTATTCTGCAGTTATATTTAATAAAGTAAAGTATACATGTCGCTATGCCGCAGTTCATCACTGTCTGCGACTGCCTGGAGTGCAACGACTAGCAGGGCATTGCCTCGGCAACTTGTGTAGCTACCACGAAACACTTAGTAAGCTCTTCTGCTGTGTGTTAAATACTGTGCACTCCAATACAGTCTCTTCGACACAACATCTATCGCTTCCTAAAGTACATATACACCTTTCCTTACACGGGGAAGTGACAACGTTCAGGCAAAATTCCCCGCAATGGCCGTCGATAAAATGGCCGTCCCATCCAGGCGAAAGTTGTTACTGTTTCTATGCGGATGGTGTTGGTGCTGGGCAGCGGTAGCTATCCAAAAGTAAGTCACACGGGCTTAACACAGCTTAAGCACTACTACTTGCAACGGCCCCCCTGGCAGTGGTGGGCCGCTTGATGACCCTCGTCGCTGCGCTCTCGGCTGTGTGCCCGTCCCTAACCCGACCAGTCTGAGAGCTCCCCCGTGCCACCTTGGTGCCCGCAGTGAACCGGTGGATCAGCTTGGACCTTTTCGCGGATCCTCAAATTTGAACGCGGGAGAACAGCTAAGGACTTGCTGGAATGCACTCTACGACCCGGCCCCCGTCGGATATACAGATTGGCTAGCCGGGGGGCCCGCACGGTGAGGAATGATGAGAAGAAGAGAATCCAAATCGTAGAGAATCGTAAAAAAGTGAACACAAGCTCTGCGTTATACTCGCCCTTGACTACTGCTGACCCGATCTGTTCAAAATCCCACCGCGCTCTCCCCGTTTGCCTGTTTTCGGTATTGGGGCAAAGAAACAAGAGCAGCTCTGTAAAGTTTCGTTTCCGTCATGCCTCCATCTTCTATCTCCCTCCCCCCCACTCACACAAATTTGCACACGTACATGCAAACACATACGCGCTGTGCCTCACTGATGGTCCTTTGGTAAGTCGTGATCCTGCTGGTTAGCATCGTATCTGGGGGTTACCCAACATATCCCGCCATACATTGGACATATACCAGTGCGTCTGGCGAGGATGTTGGAACGTATGTGGGCTCACCGCAACTCAGTATGTGGGCTCACTGAGTTGCGCCGCAACTCAGTATGTGGGCTCACCGCAACTCAGTATGTGGGCTCACTGAGTTGCGCCGCAACTCAGTATGTGGGCTCACTGAGTTGCGCCGCAACTCAGTGTGTGGGCTCACTGAGTTGCGCCGCAACTCAGTATGTGGGCTCACCGCAACTCAGTATGTGGGCTCACTGAGTTGCGCCGCAACTCAGTATGTGGGCTCACTGAGTTGCCGCAACTCAGTATGTGGGCTCACTGAGTTGCGCCGCAACTCAGTATGTGGGCTCACGTTGCGCCGCAACTCAGTATGTGGGCTCACTGAGTTGCGCCGCAACTCAGTATGTGGGCTCACCGCAACTCGAGTGGTCACTGAGTTGCGCCGCAACTCAGTATGTGGGCTCACGTTGCGCCGCAACTCAGTATGTGGGCTCACTGAGTTGCGCCGCAACTCAGTATGTGGGCTCACCGCAACTCAGTATGTGGGCTCACTGAGTTGCGCCGCAACTCAGTATGTGGGCTCACTGAGTTGCGCCGCAACTCAGTGTGTGGGCTCACTGAGTTGCGGAACTCGCCGCAACTCAGTATGTGGGCTCACTGAGTTGCGCCGCAACTCAGTGTGTGGTATGTGGCTCACTGAGTTGCGCCGCAACTCAGTATGTGGGCTCACTGAGTTGCGCCGCAACTCAGTATGTGGGCTCACCACAACACTTTGCCCCAGACACACCAGTATGTGGCCACAGCCCTGCCCAGCTAACACCCATCGACCACCGAACACACCCACTCATCCAACCTCGGCTGTCACCCACCCCTCCTTTCAGGCTCTACCTCGTGGACGTGTGGTGGCCAGCTCGCCCCAGTAATCTGCCCATGACTGTCTTCACGATGGCGTCCATGGATAGGTTGCACTTGCTGGAAGCGCAGTAAGTCTTTCCTCTTGACTTTCCATGCACAGTACAGTGCAGTACAGTACAGTACTGAGCCAAACATCATTGCCGTTGCCAAACATTGCACACGTTACGACAGGCGCAGCCGGATTTTATTTTTTGCTACAGTGACCGATTTTCATCATTCGACTAACAGAAAGCAATATCATGTACTATGAATGATATCCGTGCCGCTGCGCCTATGTGCTGTTGGATTCCCAGGCGCAGGATACCCCACACGCCGCCCCTGCCTTTGCCTTTGCCTGCCCTGCTCCCGAGTCCCGACGCCTATCCCCCTGACCTCCTCAGCCTATCCCCTTTCTCCTCCTCCCTACCTTCCCACCTCCCTCGGACCGCCCATGCAACTCCCCACAATGATGACTCCGCCACAATTTACACAATTTCACACTCATCCTCTCGCCGCAGGTGCCGAGGTTACAAGGGCCCTTTGTCGGCGGCGATTTACCTACCTCTGCCGACAACAGGTGCCATGTCGCCGGTCGCAGCGGTCAAAGGTGATGACGCCGGTGACGGCGAAGCTCCTTTGGCGGTGACGTTGCGGCCTGCACGTGCGAATGTAAAAGGTGGCGACGTCATGGTGGATAGGAAGGGGGTGGGGAAGGCGGCGGCGAAGGGAAGGGGAACGAATGGGCTAGCAGACCGCAGGTCACTCTTGGGCACCGACGACACCGCAATCGACAAGCTCATGCTCCGACAACACGGCGCACAGCTCAGTGCGGCGCGGGAGAAAATTCAGGTGTGTGTCTGTGTGTGTTTGCGTGTGCATATATGCGTATGTGTGTATGTGTGTGTATGTGTGTGTATGTGTGTGTATGTGTGTGTATGTGTGTGTATGTATGTTGTTACAGGGTGGTTAACTTCGCCAGCGGCCCCCTTTCCCGGGGCAGTCCCTGCTCTCCCCTGCTAGAGGGGCACCCTAATCCGTCACCCCATCCGACTTCAGAATGTATTCGTTGGGTTCGGCAACTCACCACCAGCATCCAACCAAATCTAGCGGATCAACGGCGCATCAACTTAGTTCCTGGTCAGCTCGCAAGTGTGTATGTTTGTATATGTGTGTGTATGTGTGTGTATGTGTGTGTGAAGGTTACAAGTGTACGTATGTATGTGTGTATGCATGTGTACGTGTGTCCGTGCGTGAGGTTCGGCATTTCGCGTGCGTAGAGCGCGTGTATACGAACATGTGTATGTACAACTACCAGCGTGCTGGGCAGGAGGATTGGGAGGAAAGCTGCCTCAAGGGTAGCACACCTCACAGGGTCACCAACGCGTCCCGAAAACCAGATCTTCAGGTTACCTAAACCCAAATCCACGTTCTCTTTACAAAAAAAAACAAATGAATGAACAGAGGAACCCGATTCCAAAAGATCCAAAGAGGGATTGGTGTTGCGCGTACCACTTAAAACCCCATACCGCACCGCTGGACCAAAGCCGAATCGTCCCCGGCATTTACCCCACACGCCCACCATTCAATCGGCACCATTATTGTCTTAGCACCTTCTCTCCATCCATCCATCCATCCTTTCCCCTTTCCCCTTTCCACCACAGGCTTTCTTCGACCGTGTGCAAGTGCTGCGCGCTAACCACTCCAGCTCCAGCTCCTTATCCCCTGTCTGCGATTTACGTCTCATGCTGTTTGCGGAGCGCGTATCGGACCTCCAGTTGGCGGCCATCATGCCCACCAATGTGCTGCGAAACGCCGCGGCTCTGGCGGCCCAGACGGATTTGGTCGCGATGCTGGACGCGGACCTGGGCGTGAGTGCGACCTTCAACATGCTGGTCAGCGACGTGGACCGGTGCGCAGCCAGGGGCCAGGACAGCAGGGAACGGGGCTGTGGGTGCGGGGTGGGGTGGGGTGGGGTGGGGTGGGGTGGGGTGGGGTGGGGCT